GAGAGAGAGAGAGAGAGAGAGAGAGAGAGAGAGAGAGAGAGAGAGAACACTAAAACACACAAAATAAAATAAAAACTCAAAACAAACAGATTTTTAAAAACTGAGATATCATTCCAAATCTACCCATATTTAGCAACCAAAGTACTTATGGATAAAGTTAATGGAATGAATAGAATATTAGCTGTTGAGAGCTAATTTGGTAGTGAATCTCTGTGAGGCAACTTGCCATTACCTTGAAAATATCCTTATGTACATAACTCATAACAATGATTTTAGTTATCAAAATATAATAGTCACATAGAAATTCCTTAACATGAATGAAGATATTTGCCTACATTTGTGCAACATAAAAGTTAGAAACTCAAATATCCATGTGCAAACGAATAAATATGTTAAGTGTACTTATATAGGTGAATATAGCCATGAAAATGAGCTATAACCAAATGAACAAGTATATCTACCTATATTATTTAAAAGAAATAGGATAAATTCTGTGAAGTTTAGTATAATATTTATATCCCAACAAAGTTTGGGGGAGAAAAAGCAGAAAGCACAAAATTCTAAAACATAGTTATTTTATGTGATTGGGATACAACATGGAAAGACAGAGGGGTTGGAATGTCCTATTTTCCTTTTGTTCAAAGGTTGAGATGCCTCCCCCCTTTTTTTGTGATCCTTATATCTTTGATTATCCTTTGCCTCAAGGACTTCAGTTATGAGCTTAACCAGAACAGCCAATGCCAAGGGACATTGAAAGAATAGAAATGAAACTGAATCCATCAAATATCCCTCCAGCAGAGGGCTGTACTACCTTTGCTGTTTCTCAGTACCAGCCTGTTCTCCACATTTGGTGTATTACTCCTGTAGGTATTTCTAAAGCAAGGATTTTGTATTTTCATGTAGTGCTCATCCAAGCACCATCACTTAATCGATATGAGCCATTTATTACTTCTAATGTTTCCATGCATAATCATCTCAGGTCAGACTCACTGCTTTGCCTCACTGAATTATTGGTATGTTACCAAAATTAGAATTTAATCTAAACAGGACAGATGTATTATTTTCTTATTTATAAACTGTACTGGTATTTTATTTATTTATTTATTTACCCAATGATAAGAATGGTGATACTACAGTACATTTCCCTCTGGTACATGCTTCTAAATTCAAGGATTATGTGTGTTGTGTGAACTATCAGTGGAGAAAGGTCTGTGGAACCAGAAGTGTCTCCAGAATCCTTTTTTTCCTAATGTGTCAGAAGGTTATTAAGGGCAAGAAATTCCATTTTGAATAATGTGATGCAGTAAAAATAAAAAGTGTAAGATATCCTTCAAGTCTCGTGATTCTTCTAAACATGTAACTCAGTGTTATTCGGAACTGATTTGTTAGAAATCAGAGGGATGCTAGATCATTTTGGTGTTATTTTAATTTTCCTCTTTTATTCTATCTCTATGTTGATTATTCAGATGTTCTTTTATTGATAAAAATATTGGTGGGAAGAAGGATAAGATGAGAGGGAAATATGATCAAAATAATTACATAGAAATATAAAATGTCATAAGGAAGCTTATTATTTTATTTAAATAACACACAATAATATTTTTAAAAGCTCAAAATATCACATGCCTCAGTGAAATCCTTTTCATGATGAAATTATTTTGCTTTTTTCCAATTTCTCTTTTGTTTTTTCTTCTTTACATTATTTTTTCATCAACCCAATGTGTTTCCTAAAACTTACTCTTCGTATTACACTGAAACCCATGGGGGGGGGGTATTTATCATTTTCTTTCTCTTTCTTTGTGTCCTAAGACTCTATTTCAGTATCTGAAAGTGTAAATGCCTATAAATTATCAAGGATGCAAATTATGCCTATACCACCTATCAGTTCCTGACACTGCGATTGCGTTTTTCACTCTATGCTCATTTACCTTTATATTGTGTGTAACCGTGTTTGAGGATTCTAGTGGCAAAAGTACCTTTGAGGAAAGCTCAGACTTGGCTTCTGTGGATCAATGTGTCTTGACAACAGGCTTTGGACATATTTAGGAAATAAAAGAAAGTGTGAATGTTAAATTGAAATGTCTTTAGCACTCTCTGAATCCTCAGTATTGTAACACTGAAAGGATAGTGAGGGACAAAAAATCTTAAATCTATTTTTTTTAGACAGAAACTATTTTTCTTTCTTTTTTTCCCCCCAGAGCTGAAGCTGAACCCAGGGCCTTGTGCTTGGTAGGCCAGCACTCCACCACTGAGGTAAATCCCCAACCCAGCATAAAGTCTGATAGTGAAATCAATGCTAGATTTATGAAGAGATTTGGATATGTGAATCTGAGACAACATTTATGATACTTGGACTTCTCCTCTGAGAAGTTAATATGGAACATTTTGTCCTGTTATATAACCCAATTATTTTTTTCTTATTATTTTATGCATGTTTCTTTTGGGTTTTCTTTTACAATTAAATCTATCTTAATGGTTACACTGGTTTTCACCTAGTGTCTATTATTTGTCAATTCTTAAGGCTGATGTTCTGCATACATAAAGTTTTCCTATGAACATTGTCTGAAAACAGATTCTTTAAACCCCTTTAGTTATAAATTGCTTCAATGGGAAAGACCTTTTTTGATTTCTTTAGGCAGAAAACTCATTCATCCATGGAAAGAGTGATAGGCTAAGTGTCAATATAGAAATTTCAAACACTCCCATCCAAAACTCCTGGTTAAATCCTGGTTCCATGACATCTCTCTTTATTTTAGAATATAAAAATTTTGTTACTTCTCTTTTGCTTTCAGCTTATTGTTTTTCTTCTAAATCAATGGAACAAAATGTTACATTTAGCACTTGCAATGTTAAATAAAATTTAGACATACTAGGATGCATGTATGGGAAAGAAAACTGAATCAATTTCACCACACTGTGAATAATTTAGATACAAATACTTAAGTCAGTCACTTTGAAGAAGTTATCTGACATTTAAAAATTGTTATTATTATTTTATGCATCAGGGTATTTTGCCTGGATGTGTCAGGTGCACTATAGGCATACATAGTGCCTGTGGAGGTGAGAAGAGCGTGCCCGATGTTCTGGAAGTAAAATTACAGATGGCTTGAAAGTGCCATGTGGGTGCTGGGAATCTAACTCAGGTTCTCTCGAAAAGCAGCCAGTGCCCTTAACCACCGAGAAATCCCTCCATCCCAAAATGACCTTTTTGATTTCCCGTAAAGAACAAATACTGTATCGGTTTTTATTGAACTTGCATGGATGAAAAATAGTAGATTAACAATAAGATGTCTGAAGGATATAATTCTACAGTATGGAGTTCCCTGTCTTACAATTCAAAATATCACTGGTATAAGTAGCCATTAAACTTATTGAATTTAGCCAACCATATCATTAAATGTCAAGTTAAATGCCTGTCTTTTGATTTGTTTGACACAGATTAGTGAGAACAGAGATACAAGTCCTTTAGCCAGTAATGAGCAGAAGTGCTCATTATTGTAACCATTTAATCTATGTTCTACCTGTGCTTGCTCATGTTGTACATTTCATTAAATTGTACATAAAAATATTTGCTCTTTAGAAGTTACACATTTCTTCACTGATTATCCCTTTTATTTAATGAAATATAGTCTCACAACATATACACATTAATCAATGGGGAGGTTTCATCACTTCACAGAACAGAAAAAATTAAGACTATCAACACAGTGTTTGTTTGATGTTTTACTAGATTTTAAAAGAGTATAATTTTACAGAGAACTCATGCAAAAGAACCAAAAGGTTGCTAAAACTCCCCTCTTCTTAAGTTTCTTTTGTTATTCATTTCTTGTATTAATTTGACACATTTCTTTCAATGGATACATCAAAAAAGATGTATTTATGAATAAAAGTCCATTTAGGCTGTACTCTCTTCTGCACAAATCTGTGTATGTTTACACATGATAATATTATCTATCCATCATTTTGGTATCTCGATAAAGAGCTTCACTGACCTATATACATTCCCTGCACTCTGTTATAATTCCTCTCTCTTTAACCTCGAAACCACCTGTCTTGTTACTGTCTTTATAGTTTTACCTTATCTTGTATAAAATAGAGTTGGAATGAAAGCACATTTTTTTTTTACAAATTCTCATAAATATCTTGATTTCTTCTAATTTGATGATTACAAACAATGCTTTGATAAACATCATTGTGCGAGTTTTATAAGGATGTAAACAGTCAACTTCTTTTGTAAATACTTAATCCTGAAGGTACTCAATTTTAGATTAAAACTTAGATTAGCTGATTAAGGCATGGGCAATCTGTTTTCCAAAAGGCTGATCTGTCTTAACTACCTCACAGTGATGGATGAGAATTCTGAATCCTTTATATGTTTATCAGCTTTTAGTATGACATATTTTAACTATTCTATAGTTAAACTATAGGTTTGTGCCATATTGTTGTGTTTTCTGATTATATCATATCATATTATATTATATTATATTATATTATATTATATTATATTATATATAAAACTGCATGTAATTAAATGTATATATGATGCTATCTTTTTTTGTACTTATTTGCTTCCATATACCTTTTCTGTGGCCTATCCAGATCTTTTCTCTGTTTAAAAACATTATTAGTATACATGTATATGTTTGATCAATGCCACCCCATTTCCTTCTCTCAAATTCCTCCCTATCCACTTTTCTCTCCTAATTTCATGTGTCTTCTCTTTTTTCTTTAAATATTCACTGAGTCCATCCAGTGCTGTCTATATTTTCATGATGTAATACTGTTTACTGAAACACAAGAATCCTTTCAGAACCTGCACTGCTGAGAAAAATTCCTTCTCTCTACTCCAATAACCATAAGTTGTCAATAATCCCTCAAAAAATAAGACTTTCATGGCTCCCTTCCCTATCCATGCTGGGGTTTGGGCTGGCTTGATCTTGTACAAGTTCTGTGCATTCAGCCATAGTAGAAATGAGTTCCTGTGTGTAACTATGCTATCATGCCCAGTTAATACTCTGGCTCTTTCAGTCTTTCCACCTCCTATTTTGCAATGACAGATCCCTGAACCTTGGGAGGGTGCTATATATGTTCCATTTAGAATTGAACACCATGAAGTCTTTTATATTCTGCGGCTTGTCTAGTTGTGGATCTATGTAATAATTTTATAGCAAATACTATTATAAAAGCAACAGAAAGAAGCTTTTCTGATGAGGATTGAAAGATGTACTAATCTACGGTTATAAAGATAAGAACATTGGAGGAAGTTTGTTACTATGTCAATTTTACAGTAATATAGTGCTACACTATTACCTAGCTAGGAATGGATTTTCACCCAGGTAACAACACCAAGTATGGGTTCCATGTTGTGGAGTAGGCTTTTAACCCAAACAAGAAGTGGTTGAGTACTTCCACAACATTCATGACACTATTTCACCTATTGATATATCTTGCTAGGTTAGTTATTATTGTATCTTTCTGGGTGCCCAATTGGATAAAATTGTTGATTACTGTTTTCACCTGGTAGTATGCATAGAACTTTATAGCATTATGCATACTAGCCTAGTAGATATCAAGATTCCATATTCATACCATGTTTGTTTATCCACGTCCTACAACTCAGGTATTTGGTACCTTCAGCAATAGGATGTTACCGTCAAGTTCTTCGTGGTAGCCAAGAGCAATGCCACTAGTCTACAATGTTTGGTAAAGATCTGTAAGACTCTCTAGACAAATAACTTGAAAAGTGGCAACCCATTTCCAGCACTGATTTTTATTTTATAGCATTGTCTTCCATTAAAGGGTTACTCGGTTTTAACCTGTTTTATGTATGTAAAGCTGCCTAAATTATGTACCTTTACATACATAAAACATATGATGTTTAGGGGATGGAGGACACCAGAAGAATAGGGCTCCCTGAATCAACTAAAAAACGTATATATGAGCTCAGAGAGAGAGAGAGTATAACAGCAAGCACAGGGCCTACATGGGTTTGCACGAGGCCTCTAAATACCTATTAGAGCTACTGGCTTAGTATATTTATTTATGGGACTGCTGACCATGAAAACCAGTGGGTCTCTGACTCTTGTCACCTGTTCTCATGACTTTTTTCCTACTGTTTGTTTGCCATGTCCAAATTTGACATGATACTTTTTGCTTTATCTTGTTATATTTTGTTTTGTATTATTAGGTTGTTATCTCTTAGCAGCCTTTTCTTCTCTAATGAGAGACAGAAATGGAGTGGATCCAGAGAGGGGGAGAGGTGGGGAAGAACTAACAAGAGTAGAACAAGGGGAAACTATATGTATGTTGTGTTGTATGAGGAAAGAATCTATTTTCAATAAAAGAAAAAATGATGAAAATGAAAGCTCTTTAATGTTAATTCTGCAGTCACATACTCTATGTTCTACCCTGCAACTGCTAGCCTAGTAATCCTCCTTCCCCTTCATACAACCTGTGTTCTATCTGTTTCCTGCCTCCCCTGGGTTCTTCGATTTAGGCACATATACATCTAAAGACTCATATGAGAAAGAATATGCAATGTTTGTCTTCCTGTGTCACCTTATTCTAAAAGATTCTTTCCATAACCATTCACATGTAAATCTCACAGTTTCATTTTACTTTACAGATGAGTGATAAACACATTCTTGTCATCCATTAATGAACTGATGGTTGTCACCTTTCACCTGAAATGATGGATTATATCTCCTTAAACTATTATCCTAAATAACCCCATTTTACCTTAAGTTGCCTCTTGTCACGTATTAGGTCACGGCACCAAAAATAGTAACTGTGGCAACTTCTTACTTTGATTTGAATCTTGAAATCCTATGAAAGAGGTGAATGTATTTATTTGTGGAAATATTTCATGTTTTTCTTCCATTTAGGCCTTTCTATTTAAGTACAAGTATATTTTTAGTGAGGCTTTATTATTTTTAAGCTCACAGTCTTTAAAAACATTATTAATATACCCTCCTAAGTGCACAGTATCCTTTTATAGTCATATTGTGTGGTAATTTTATATCTGACATTCATATGCATAGTTTTAAAATTGCTGTAGAAATTATCCTACTATTGTAAGAGCTGCTATTCTGTGTCACCCACATGCAACCTTTATTCTTTACAACTGTTTTCACCCTGCTATCACCAGCCTCTGACTAGTCATATAACCTCCAGGTAACCTCCAGTGCAACTCATTCCCTTTTATCTTATCTCAAGTTCATTTCTGATTTCTCTATACTTTCTTGATTATTTTA